TTTTTTTTTCTATTGGAATTTAAATTCTATTGAATTAATAAACATAGGATTCGAAAACAAAAAAAAAACTCTCTTTCATTTTATCGATAGACACACATATCTTATCGGTAATAATTATTGTTATTATTTTGTTTGGCATTCTTGTCTCTTATTTATAATTCACGTCGTCTAGATATTTGTCATTTATCTTCATAAAAGAAAAAAATATATACATATTTACCAAATTTGTTGAATAGCCTTGTTACAAAAGATTGTATTAATAATGTTTATTCACTGTCTTATGTTTTATTCAATATCAAGATTATCTTTGTTGAAGATATTTTGGCCTTCTTATTTGTTGAATAACACATCTTGTATCTATTTGTCAGTTGCAGTTTACCTTGAATGATATACAGATGGAAGAAATCTATTGATATTCAAGGATAAGATGTTCTATCAAGTAAAATCTAATTTTAATTTTAAATTTGATTAATATTCACAGTATGTTACAAAATAAAAACCTAACATAATACAATAAAAGTTATGTAATTTCTTTTTTTTTGTTAATATCAAACTGCAGGGAGATTATTCTTTATCTTAAAATACAATTCTTATTCTAAAATACGCGTTAAGTAATCAGAACATTCGTATGACCATGAGAAAATTTCAGTTCATACTCTGAATCTATCAACGCTATCAATCAATATGTTGACACGTAACTTAACATACGAATATGATCCATTATGTTGATAGATATGACATGATGACATTTTTTTTCAATAAAACATTATTCAATTATTTACTTAATTTATCTTATTAAAACTCAACCTAGGAGAAAAAGAAGTAATAAGTATCATGCTGACAAAAATAATTTGTTCATTATGATCTCTATTTGTTATATCATTTTTAATCAAATTGATTGCTGTAGTTCTATTTTGAAAAAGAAAATGATTGAAAATCTTTTTGCTTCAATGAATATAATAAAATACAATAGGAAATGATTCGATTTATTTTTTCTTTTATAGATTTTAATGATACGTGTAATATGTCAAACAATAAAAACATCAATCATTAAATTATCATTACGTATGTCGTCTTTGTCTAATCAATCAAATCGTCTTAATTCATTCGGTACTAATGAAGAAGATCCAATCTATGAAGCAACTGTTCATTCTATTAAAAATCTTTCACCAACAATAAAACAATTTTATCTAGCAATTAATGATCCATTAAAAACATTTTATTTTCAATCTGGTATGTTTCTAGATTTTTATCTTTCACCATCAATAACATCGATTATAACGGGATTTTCAATTTGTAATTCACCATTAAATTATTCGAAAACACATTTAATTGAATTAGCTATTAGAGAAACTGATTATGCTCCAACAAAATATATGTTTAATGATTGTCAAGTTAATGAAAAAGTTTTTGTGAAACCAGGTGGACAGTTTTTTTATCAACCGCCAACAACAACAACGACTAATAATTCTATTCTTCTTATTTGTGCTGGTATTGGAGCAAATCCTATTGTATCAATCCTTCGACATCTTCTTGATATACATCAATCTAATAACTCTCCAAGAAATTTTCATCGGATAGAATTTTTCTATACTGCAGCGACAAGAGAGGATCTGGTATTTCATCATAGTATTGACTTATCTTGTCAACAGATGATAAAAGATAATGTTCTGCGAACTAATTATTTTGTAACAAGAGAAATTAATGATGATATTAAGATTAATAATCGACGTATAAATGCAACAGATTTACAACAATCTATTCAATGGCTGGAAAAACCTGTTACCGCTTATCTATGTGGACCATCATCATTCATCGACGACATAGAAAATATTTTAAAAAAATTAGACGTAAAAAAGATTTTATATGAAAAATGGTGGTAGTTTCTTTTATTTTTTTCATCAATAAAATAAATCAAAAAAAAAAGAAATTCTTTTTCCCAGTTGTTATGTCATATAAATATATATCATCCACCAGTCAATGATAATTCTTTTGGACATGCCAATCAGTATTACATATATGTAGTCAAACGGACATTTGTGACGACGTTTACTCTTTTACCAAATGAAATAAGAAAGTACTTATCAACTGCAACGACGAAAAAAAGTTTTGATAAGCAATTAGTTTCACTGGCACTTCATTTCCTTTTTTTTCTCTCTGTTCTTATTCATATATAGTCATTTTCTTCATACTGTTGCAACTAATTTGAAAACCACTATCTCTTTTTTTTTCTTTTCAGACTTTTTTCTTTTTTCTTTTTTTGGAGAAGAAAGAGAGACCCAAGCACTCGCCTATTTTATCATATCTTTAGACATTCATTCATTCATCAAAATTTTTCTTCTTCTCTCTCTCTTTCTTCTTATGTGCCTTCGTCTTCATCGGTAGTATGTGAAAAAAAAAGAAGAGGAGAAGAAGAACAACTGAGAAAAAGAATGAGAAGATCAACTAACCGGTCAACAATGTTAAGATAATGTTCATCATCGTTATAATAAAAAAAAAGAAAGGAAAGCTGGTTTCTTTTTAATATAAAGTGTTTGATTATTTTTGTTCGTGTCTTATTTCCTTCCCTCTTTCCCATCGATTCTCTTAAATGTTGCCGATAGACATAGAATGAGCTGAGAAGTAAACAAACATATTCTTGAACAACGTATCATCTTCCATATTATGCAATAGAACATAGCAGGAGTTAAGCTAGTTATCGACAATTTTCATCAAACCTCGATCATTCTGATGCCTATGTATGAGGCAATTATTCTGTTGAATCAATACAGCAGCTGTCACCTTTTACACAATCAATAACATACATTTTTCTCTTGACTTTTTCCATTTCGTTAGTCCAATCGTCCTTTTCACATATCGATATATATACACATATATACATGAAGAAAAACTTATACTTTTCTTCTCCATTTTTGTTTTTTTGATTTGTTTATTTTATGTTTCAAGTTTGCAAGTTGTATTTATAATACTATATATCTATATATATACTTGTAGAGTGAGAATACCAAATTGGTGTGCTCTTCTTCAATATACATATATATTAACAAAGAAAAGAAGTTTATTTAAAAGGTATGCATTTTTATCTTTATGTAATTTCTACATTTGTTAATAAAGAAGGAAGTAACTTTATGCCAAGGTTTTCTTTTTCTTCATTAATTTCAGTTTAGAGATCGATGTCTATATTGACAAAGATAACGAGAAAAGTGAAAGCTTAACAAAATCAGTAGAGCAGAAATTATTTCTAGTCGGGCTACCGGAAAGTAGTATGTGGAAAAAGCTAGGAAATGATGATGATGAAAAAAAAAGAGTCGACAAATGGAGAGAAAATGTACAATTAATAGCGAATAGAATATGGTTGGTAGCGGTTACAAGAGGGAAGAATTAGACGCGTCGAATATTTATTATCATTATGTATAATAAATATTAGACATAAAGAGGAGGGAAGAGAGAGAGAGAGAAAGGAAAACCATCTTCTTTGTTGCTCGTTTTTTTTTCTTTAATAACTAGAAGACACAAGAACACAGACCTCCGCCTCTTTATTCTCTCTATTTTGCTTCGGCAAAATGTGTGAAATAATCTCTTCTTTATTCGATATATAATAATATGTACGTGCGGGTGTACGATTGTTGTTATCTATTATAAAAGTAGAAAATCAAAGTTAATTAGATCAACAACTGTTTATATTATCTTGTTTAAAATATAAATCATTTCAAGCACCATTACAAATAGATATAATAGGGTATGTCATACCACTTTTTTTTTGTATTTTTCGAAGAAGAAGAAAAAAATGACAGATTTTTTACTGAAGAAAAACAATGTGCGTGATAGTTATATTATCATTTAAATAAGTAATAAAACATTTTTCTGTGATAAACATGCAACTAGTGTTAATCTAGCAAATCAAATCTCTTTAAAATATGAAGATTTTATACCATTTTTTCTTTCATTGTATTGTATTTAATAACACCGAAACCTTTTTCCTTTTTTTTATGTTTGAAAATTTTAATCAAAATCTCATCGAACATGTATAGACATAGTTTTATACATGTATCAATATATGTTGTTAATATGATAAATATACAGTAAGATTTTTATTGATGAGAAAGAGAATAAAAAAAAACTTAGTCTTAAATTACTATGTTGATCATCGAAGTATAAAGCTTTGTAGGAAGAAGAAACCGAAAGATGTATTTATATAAATATTACTGTTATCGTTTGACGATGGCGCAGAAACAACGTAGGGTGAAAACCGTGTCGCATTTCATCTCTTCTCGTCAATTGGGGAATCACAACCTTGAATATTGCCTGTTTGCCTGTCTATATACTGGAAGGTCTGTAGTACACAAATGAATAGTAAAGAAGATTGAAAAAAATGGAAGAGAAAAAAAAGAAGAAATATGGCAAGCAGAAATAGTAAAACAGAAAAAATCTCCGCTCCACTCGTACACACTTATATATATATATACACGTATTCTTCTTTATAGTCAATCTAATTGATTTCGTTGTTTCGCACAATAATAAGAATAAAAGAAGCGAGAAAGAGAAACCATAAAACTCAAGAATAGCATAGGAAGTTAGTAATAAGAGTTATTGTGTTTTATTGAATGAAGGTAAGCATAAAATAAGGTTAAGTCAGAATAATAGTTGTTATGAGTTGATGTGAATTATATAAAAAAAAGAAGAAGAATAAATCTTTTTATTATTTCTTCTTCTCGGAGATGGTCGATGATGATGATGATGGCATTAGACATTCGTCTAAATACTCGCTGCTGATTGATCCACTCACGATCGATTAGAAAAGGTCTGGTGATAGTAATTGTATTTACAATACCGTTTGCTCGGCCTGTTTCTGTCTGCGTATGTATGTGTCTGAGGGTTGAGCTAATTTGCGACGACGATTTTGCTCGATTATCAAGATAACGCTTCTATATACACATATATATATGTGTGTATGTATATATATATATATTTATATATGTAATCATTGCAATCAATTGAGTAACGGTATTACATCTGTGTAAGAAAGAGTCAAGATGGCAAAAGTTCGATAAGCAAAACGAATAACTATGAGAATTTTTTAGTAATGTTAAGTCAAGGTAACTAGTAAATTATATTGTTTAACCCTGTGAGTTTGTATACATTCTCATCACTGAGTTATTCACACGTCTATATCGATGTTCAATATAGTGATATGATGATGATAACAGTTGACAATGAGACTGGTTGGTTCGAGTGAGTGTGAAGGCTAGATATTATGTATATTGACCTTCTTTTCCATCATCTTCTATGAGAAAAAGAAGAATCGCGGAAGTCAATTGTAGGGCTATTGACTTATCAAGACAATCTATCCCTAGAGTAAGTGATTGTCTATCATAGCATATTTTTTTGCTCAAACAGATATACTTATTCTTGAAGAGCTTCGGGTATTCACTTAATAGTACAGTTGATATATAAGTGTATATACGACGAGTAAAAAAAAATTTTTTTAGGTTTCCTTTTTCTAGTATAAAAAAAACATGTCAAAATCAATCTAGATGATGTTGTATTACATCTTCATTTGTCTTTTTCTCTCATTCGTTTTATACACGTATGCACACATGTTATTCCTATGTATTTGTATGTATAGATTCCCTATCTCTGCATGATGTCTTTTCTCTCTCTCTCTCTCTCTTGATAGTAGTAAGGGTGAGATCGGTTGACGTAAATTGGCTACAGCGGTCGACGTCATTTAGATATTAATGTTTTCTCTCGTTTCGTTTCCTTTCTCTTTCTTCTTTTCTCTATATTCTTTTTTCTTTTTTGTATTATCGTTTGACATACATGCACAAAGAAGCTTTGACGTACATGTATTCATATACACCGAAGACACAATAAAGATAAGCGAACGAGATCAACATATTTCCGCAGTGATATTTTTTGTTGTGCGCCGTCAATGAGTATTAAAGAACCTTAGATAAATAAATACTAGTGACCTTTTTTTACGGTGAGTTAATAATTGTCATAGTAGAGAGAAAAAAAGCGACCGAAGAATTACTGAAACTAAAACTATCGTGAAATTATTTATCATTGTTCTTGAATCTTTCTTTTTTTGTTTCATACAGAAAACAATTGACATTGCTATTTATGTATTCATGAGATGAGTTAAAAAATTAATTTTACAATAGTCTTCTGTATTTATATATATATTTAAAGTCAATCGATGAACCGTGAAGAACAATTCTAACTTGCTTCTCACCTTTCTACATATGTTAATGATTGTAAAATCCTTTCGTTCGTTCGTTCGTTTTCTCGCTCTTATTTGATTACATTTACTTATCTATAACTTTTCTTGTTTAGCCTCGAATTGACGCATCAATCTTTCACTACAACGAATCATATTGTTGGCTCTTTATCTTTTCTTTCATTGAACAACACCTATTATAAATCGAACAAAAACTTCAATCGATCGTTTTTGTCTTGTTCTTTTTTCTTAAATTTACAACAATTTTTATATCATATTACATCGAATAGAATCATTCTATTTCTCTTCTCAAGGAGTATAACAAAACAGCCTTGATTATATACACAATCATCTTTTAAACAACTCTCAATTTTATTATCTTATAATCAATCAATATATATATCTTTGAATAGAACAAATAACTATTAGGACATTGCAATAACATAAAGCGTGTTCTAGTAAAAAAAAATATTTATTATATATATATCTTAATAAAACAATCTTAACAACATCCAATAAACATTTATTACTTGAATATCTATATATTTAAGGTAAGATCGAAAACAAAATCCAAGGTGTTATAAATCTCGATAAAAAAATTAGTCACAGCTCTTTATAAGATTAATAGATAGATCAACATATTACTAAAAAACTATTGAAGATCGAAAAAAATATGACAGATTCTTTTTCAAAACCATTAATCATCGATTGCACTTGATTACTATCTCCCATCGGGTACAATTACGTGAAAAGATTAGAAGAAAAGGAAGAAAAAAAAATGTCAATAATGATTCTTATACATTTTGGTATTCATTAAAATATTAGATAGAAAGAGGCCTTTACATATATATATATGTATATGTATGCATGTATATTTATCATTGAGAAGTGAATATCAGAAGGTATTTATCAAATGTAAAGTAGAGACATCTATTGTCTATAGTCTCATCAATCATATGTAACTGTTCTGAGTAATATCATATTCTCGTTTATTTTAGAACAAGACGAACGTATCATTCCATCTATCAATTTACAATTGACAAGTATAAAAGGCAGCACAAATTTACTACATACGAGAAGAATACCCGTAAGTTATACTATTGTCTATTGTTAATTTTTGTTTTAAACTATATATAAGCACGCGTCGATGGATTAAGACATAAGTGCAATATAAGATCAAAGAGATATAGAAACATATTTGTGTTTGTCCTAACTTGAAAGTTCATTTTAACAAATGAAGTTGAATACGTTTAATCGAATTGTAACTTGCATAAATAATTTTTAAGTGTATAGATGATATTGTAAACGGAATGTCATCAATCGCCTTCGTTTTGTTCGCTTGACCTATATTATTATTTATGTACGTATATACATATATTCTTAAAGATGATATATTATTTGATGATTACGTAAAAAAGAATTCTACTCAATCAATGAACAACACCAGATGTATGTGTGTGTTCGTCCGAGTGCATTGATTTATATTGCAATTAATTTCTACGATCGATCGATCGTAGTTCAGATAATTTCAAACGATATTAACGTTATATGATGGCTGAGAATCTATTGACAGCTTGTACTAGTATATATCTCCTTTACTGATTGTAAGATAGACGAGAAAAAAGAGTAATCACGTTGTGATAATGCTCATATCTTGTGCATTCTTCCTTTCTTTCTTTACCATTGATCGTTTGACTCTCGCTCTCTCTCTGTGGGCACTATACAACGTTTGCCACTGTTAATGTGACATCCATCCATCTATAGTTTGGCGCTTTCTCTCTCTCACTCACTCTCTCTGTCTCTTTTATACATATATACATACGTACGATTTGTATCCTTCTTTCCACCCTTCCTATTCATTCATTCATTCATTCAGTCATTCATTCATACATTCATTCATATCCATCGGTGCATTGTTGTCGCGTTCATATATCCAACTTCATTGGCCTTGTACAAGTCTTCTGATTCATTAATTTCTAATATTAGATACTTAATACATTAAGAATACTTCCGTCTTTATCCACGCATATATAGGAGGTAAGATAATATTTCATCTCTACATTTTGTTACTTATATGTACATCATACTATAGATGATTTTTGTGTTCAGTTAAATCTTATCTCGTATAGAATAGACTGTTTATTTATTTGATGAATAAGCTACAAACTTATGAGTAATATCAGTGTAACTAGAGAAAGAAAGAACGAAAAGATACACAATATAGAATTGTGTAAGAATATTACACGTTGATTGATTGTGATATCATAAAATTATGTATTGATTTTAGGTTTTTATTATCGCTTTATCCCTCATTATCCGATTTATTGTATTAGAAAGTAATATGATCTCTACCTACGACTTCTGTATTCATTATTTCGAAATTCTCTCGAGCACAATCGTCGGCTCTTTTTCTTTTTCTTTGAAATTAGTCATCCATGATGAGTAATTCGACTTCCACGTATACATATATATATAGTTTATTTAATGTGCCATCTGCGTCCGTTATAGGTATTCAAAAACAATCGTTTGACAAGAAAATTCATAAAAAAAAAGCTACCGTCGTCTTTTTTTAGTTGACTTTTTTTTGACTATAAATTGGTAAGTTTTAACATGTTTATTCTAATAGGATTCATTTAAGTTGCCGTTAATGTATTTGTTGGAATGTCAACATTATACGAACAATAATCTTATTCGATTTCTTTTCCGTTTTTTGTTTTTGAAGAAGAAAATGTCCGACAGGGAACCATCTGCGCCTTCGTTAAAAAATAACATATATAGATGTATATGTCTGTATATAAAAGGAAGGATATAACTAGCGATTCAGATGACCAACTGTCGACTAGAAACTAAAGTGACATTTGTTAGTTATATAGAGAAATTTTTTTTTTAAAATTAATCGAATCAGGCTGTGACCCATCATCAAGCCATTTGTTATTAAGGTCCATGAACAGTATTTATCATTGTCTAATTTAATAATGCATAAAAAATAATAGACATACTGTTCATTTGTTGAATGTGGGGGTAGGAAAAAGAAATGTGTTCTTATAAATCAAAAGAAATGATCTTATGTCAAAGAGAAATTAAGTGGTCAAATTTGAAGTGTGAATACAATGTCGTCTGTTTAAAATTTAGTCAGATGTGTTTATACTTCACTTCATTCTTTGTTTTGTTCTTTTATTTGATGACAACACAGAAAATAAATGAAGTCGCCCTTTAATAAGATAGCCCACTGGCTGAAATGAGTCCATTCTTATGTTGTTAACAGCACATACATACTTATTGACTCGACTATATCCTCTTTGTGGTATTGTATTATAAGTTGCAAGAACAAAAAAAAATGCGACACAGGGGGTATCGGCCAGGTGACCAGCATTTGACCTTTACTACCAACCATCGCCACATGCCTTTCTTTCCCTCATTCTCCCCCTCTTGTGTGCGCTTTCGTATACAGTCTAATTGACTTCCGCAACGGGCGTACGCATGTGTACCCACATAGGAGGGTGGGCAGATAGAAAAAAAAATGAGAGAAAAAGATTAATCTTATACATACAACGTCAATAAATTCAACGAATAATCTAAAAAAAACTAATTGAAATTCAATGAGACTAGTGAACGTACATAGAAGTCACAACTTTACGTTTCATCATTTATAGTGAGCAGGAAGCATGAATATCTTCTATGTTAGAATTTCTTTTTTTCTGTTGCCTTTATTAATCTGATGACAGATATGTTCTCAGACAATTGATGCCAACACCTCGTGTACTAATGCTTTCATATACAATCATATATACGGTCCGCAACAATAATGAGAAAGGGGAGGAAAAAGAAACGAGAAATGTCAATTGTTTTATGTATTTCATATGCTTACATCATCATCATTTCTATCACCATTATTGACGGTATTTGATCTCAGAGTGTTAGCATCGAAAAGTTCTATATATAGACATGAGAAGAAAAAACTCATTTGTCGACAAAGTTTTTTTATCTATTCATCTATCTTGATGTAATACGTCTGCGCATGTATATGAATACCAATATAAAACTACATAGTTTCTAATCGTTATTATCCATTCTGTTCCACTATGTTTGATATGGGAAGACAAGAAAAATGAGAACCTTGGTATATTTAATTATATCTATATAATGCGACGACACGAAATCCCGTTTTGTTCTTATCATCATTCCTGTTTACGTCTTAGACAAGGACGTGATTATGTACATTTGTCAACAGATAGACACTTGCCGTTTTGTTACTTGCGTGCTAGATGAATACACAGATGTTCATTACATATGCATTAATAGATAAAATAGATTTTGTTTAGCATTACAACTAGAAGGGATATAAATGTTAGAGATGTTGTATTTTGATTTACATAATAACAACAATAATAGTAACAAACAATTAATTTTTTCTCTTTATTTTTTTTTGCTACAAGCTTTCAATGTTCTCGGGTTACTTTCAATAGAATATGTAAAAATGCTATCTGTTGCCACCCGCAAATTCCATGCAGCTGAATTGGAATAATTGATTGTGCTATAGCAGCATCATCATGATCAGTAACATTATTAGAAAGAGTAAAAAAAGAAAGAGGAAATAAGCACGTAAAAGAATATATAAAAAAAAGGTATATCTGTCTTCGTAACTATTTTTTCCTTGATGGTTGCTGAAAGATGAATGTCTTTCTTTCTTGTCTTTGTCAGCTTCTTTTTATCGTCAATAGAAAAAGCTATCGTATCTATGAACATAGAAGTGGTGACGACGTCGTGTCCTTTATTCTCTTTTCTATTTTTACACGGACGCAAGCCGTTTGGTGACAGTAGAATGCTTACTGCACGAACTAAAAAAAACTGGGTGCACAGTAAATGCCCGAGAAAAAAAACGTTGTGATGTGTAAAAAAATGGAGAGAAGAGAAAGAATTCTTTTCCTTTGTTGCTTCTTCGTTGTCGTGTTGTTTCTTTCTCTTTTTTCGTCGCCAACGGTCGGTCGGTCGTCGGTCGGTCGGTCGGTAGGTCGTTCGAGTGTCGTCTTCTTTTTTTAACAACGGCAGAAAAAGAGAAGATTCTCCAGCTACAATAGTCGATGCCAACTTTGACATTTGAAAATTGTTTTTCCTCTCTCTCTGTTTCTCTCTTGTGCTCACTATTCTTCTCGGTTTTTTTTCTTCTCTTCTTGTTCTTCTTCATCAACGCTTGACAAACGAGTTTTTTGCTCTCTTTCTCTTGTTCTCGGTGTTGCTACAGACAAAATAACGGCTGTAGTGAACACTACTGCACCTTTTTTTTAATATTTACTATTGATGTGAATGCGTCTTATGGTCTGGATTATAAAGACATTTTTCTCTTAAACAAACAAAAATGGGTTGCTCAAATGCTCGTTTATTGGTGCAAACACCACTATCTGAAACAAACACTACAGCAAATGTGAATACCAATAATAATAATAATGTCAATCCATTAACAGTACCAGTAACAACACCGATTGAAACATCTCCTACCGGTGTTGTTACTGATACAAATCCGACAACAACACGAATGCATCTAACAGGTGTTGATCTTGTTGTTGAAAGAAATGGATCGTATACACTTTTGCTTACACCGAAAACTCATAAACAGTTAATGCCCTACGTATTGCGGAAGAAACGATTTCGGTAAGAAAAATACATGTAAATAAGAATGATTGCGTTTTTGTCATCATTTGATAAACGAATAAAAGATAAGTAGAATCGACATTGTAGTTTTTATATGCATGCTTGCATGCATAACGTATTGTTAGTCAATCAAATTAGTTGTTTAAGTGGGTAGGAGAGCAAGCAAAAAGAGTAAATCGTACATATTGCTTCATATTTCAAACTCACTTATGCATATGCAATGGCGAGTATTTGTGTGTGTACGTGTATGTATATATATACATATATGGGCTCACTTAAGAAAAAATAAAAAAGTAAAGTAATTTAAAGGTAGACTTGTATGTTTGTCTGAATTGAAATACAATATTAAAAAATAAGTAGCATCACAACAGAAACTATTTCCTAGCTTCCTCTTCATCATCTTCATTTTTTTTTTATTCTTCGATAAAAACTAAACATATAGAGTGTCTAGATCACGTCATCTTCATCGTCATCAGATACATCTTATAAGAAAAAAAAACGTTACCCTTTTGCTTGATTGCTTCTCAGGCTCTACTATATAATCAGAAAAACGTTCTAGGGAAAATAAGAAAGCACGTTTCCGGTCGTTTTTTTCTATACCCGGTCAACAATTGCTTTGGTTAGACTAAGCCTTTAGGCTTATAATCATAAATTTATATATAAATAATGTTTGAATATAAAATTAGACATTTTTGTACGGAATAAAACTGAAATTGACTGTTTCCGGTAATGAGTAACACTAAATGAATAGTTAGAAAAGTGATATAATTTCATTTTTTTTTATTCGAAAAAAAAAGACGTATATAGCTACTCTTAACATAATCACAAAGAAGAGCTTTTTCTTCATGGCTGATTTTCTATTTAAGTATGTTGCGTTTCATCATATAATAAATATACAATATGTACAGTTGTTTTAACCTTGTTTTATTTCTTTGTCCATAGAGATGTCGCTAATAAACATTCTACTAATATAATAATCGGCATACTTTCTTTCATATAAATGTATATATATTCAAAATATTTAATTGAAAAAAAAAAGAATGAAAAGTAACCTTGTACTTAATCAAAATCAAAAATGTATGTCACCTTTCATTCTCAATCATTGGTTATAAATTAATTTCTTTGACAAAGACATAGAGAAAGAAAGAAAGAAACGTTAATGCCATGCATCATCAGTCATTTTTTTTTTATTTGTGAGATATAAAACACTAAAGGTAATATTATATTTGATTTATTTAGAATTCTCGTTGATAAACCTCGCTCGGAAGGCCCATTAACTGTTAATCCACCGTTATCATCGTATGATTTATCAAATAACGAACGAATTATGGAAAGCGGTAAAGAATTAAAATTAAGTGAAAAAAAGAATAAAAAACACAATAAACAAAAAATGGAATCAACTATTGAATCTGTTCAACAAGTTGCATCGGCTGAACTCGACAAAGCAAAAGCACGATTTATTGGTGGTCGTAGTATTGATCGTGGTAATCCAGAAGATGACGATGAAAATATTCAATCAGATGATGAAGGTATGATTGAAGAAATAGTTACAACTGTTGAAGAAGATAAAGATCTTGAATGTAAAGTTAAAAAGAAAATTGAAACAAAAAAAACTGTTGAACAAGATCCTGAAACACATAATAAAATAACTAAAGTTGTAAAAACTGAAGTTACAGAAATAACACGAACAATTACAATTAATGATCAACATGATCTTGAACGTGCTAAACGTGAATTAGGTATTGATGATGTTAATAAACTTTTACCATCATCACAAGTTATTTATAATTTACCATCAACATATCATTCAACATCATCATGGATAGATCATCCACGTTTAACACAAGTACAAGAAAAATATTATGAACCATCAAATGAAATTGTTACATCAGGTGATTTTCCATCTGATAGTCCAGTTAAACAACATTCACCAATCAATGAAATTAATGAAAAAGAACTCAAACATGATCAACCATTAGCTGATGCAACAACTGTTGGGCGTGGTCCAGTTGCTGAAACAATTTCATCTTCACTAATACAACAAAACTCAACACCTGTTGAAGACAAAACAATTGAAAAGAAAAAGAAAAAGAAAAAATCTAGTCTTAATTTATGTTCTTGTACACGTAGTACAACAAATGATGTTGATGAAGAACAACGTAAACAAAAAGCTGCAAATATCGTTGAACAAAAATCGAAACAAAAAAAGAAAGCATCAGTTACAACAACAAATGCACTTCTTTCAACAACGAATCTTCAATCAGAAACACCAACTGGTAAAACATTAAATGATACACAAATTCAAGGTCAACAATTAATATCTGATGATATCAAACAATTAATTACAGATAAAAAACCTTTATTAATCGATTATATACATTCAAAAATATTTTTACCATCAAAATTATTTACAACAAATGAACAAGATGTTAAAGGAAGACAAATTTCATCACGTATTTTAGATTTATTACGTTATGATCGTTGTTCATCATGGACTAATTTATTTGAACTATTAAAAGATGAATCTTCCGATCAATTAGCACCAAATCAATTTATACAACCAATGGTTAAAACTTATCAAGATCTATTTACAAATCGTCAATCAAATATTTCAAATACATTTTCAACAATACATAATGAAAAAGATATTAAAAATCTTTCTGAAAATAATGATTATATAACCATTGTACAAACACATATAAATGAAAGAGATAATCAACCGAATATTGGTGTTATTACAAAACCATTTGTTGAAAATATTGAAGATACACTTGAACGTTTACAACATCATGTTCAATCAGATGAAAAAGGTTAATATAAGTTTATAATGTTTTTTTTCCCTTTACTTCTATTAACAACTAATGTTGATGGATAGATCAATGTCAGGCATTAACCTTCTTGCTTAGTTGACTTTTTCCTTCATAGAACAACTTCTTTCTATAATGAGAAGATCTTCTTATAAGGATTTTTTCTTGTCGTACTGATAAATAGATAAATGACGGCAGAACAGGAAAGATAATCGCACTAAGCCTTCACCATTGGGTTTCTTTCTTTTTTTTCTCTTTCACTATTTGCGATTACATCATTATAACTCATTGAATATTTAGTTGGCTGACTGCCATAGCTTACGATATTTAATAGTCTTACTATTTTCTTTGGCAAACAAAGGGAAAGGAAAGGAAAGGAAAGAAAAGAAAAGAGAAGAAGAAGAAGAGAGAAGAAAAAGAGAAAGGCTAGCATTTGTGTGCGGGCATTCGGTCATTCTTAATTATCTCGAATACTGACAGTGGTGATCATCATGATCAATTAATAACATCACGAGGTAAAAATATAAAGAAAAAAGAGAATAGGAAAGGCGCTTTACACATCTATACATTTTGACAAGCGAGCGAGAGGTCAGACTTTATTTCGACGCGACCATTGGACAAACAATAGACATATACATATATAGACATACACATTGGTGACACATGTACGTGGACAAAGGTGTTTGTTTAAGGACGAGTGAATAGAAAAGAAGTGATTGTACATGTGCATGTGTGTATATGTGGACAGTTCACTACATTGACACAATGAGATTCCGACGATATGTTCTGTCTAAGTGCAGTGGGACACCACCACCAGGGCGTTATTCTGATACAACTGGTAAGTTTCAATTGACTTGAACTATAAAATAAAATCCAAGGCCTATCCTTCAGTATTCGATTGCTTCTTAATAATCGTCCTTTGACACACTATCCTATTGATCCTTATTTCTCATCCTAATACTCATATATATGTCAATATTCAACATATAGAAGAGAATATGGTATATTTATATATAAAACTCTATGTAATACATTATACAGTACAAATATAATCAAGATTAGATAATAGTCATATACATAATATATCCCGTTCTTATTTTTTGGTTAGAACTGTTCTTCCATTATTATTGACATTGCCTCCATTAATCGAATACTGTTTAAGTTCGTCTGTATAAACAAATGGTGTAGCATGTAGTTTTCCAAAGAAACGTTGAAATATATTTCGATGTTTGGTTTGGCGTAAAACTCCTGAAGTTATTTCATCATAAGAATCACTTGAATTCATGATTGGTAAATATGAGCGTGGAAGAAATGAAGGTTGCGAATTTGAATCAGATGCCATTTATTACTTTACTTGTTTGGTTCGTTCGCTCGTTCGTTCGTTCGTACGTTTGATTACTTACTTTTACCTGTCTACACGTCAAACTATTTGACGATTCGTACTGCCCTCATTTTACCTGCTCACTCTTGGTTTTTTTCTTCTTTCTCGCCTCTGATAGAATGATGAAGTGCATCAATAGCAACTCTATTGATTTCGTTTCTATACGTATGCACATATTTAAAAAAGAATGCGAACGCGACAAAAAGAACGACAAATCCTTCTAGCAAAAAATATATATATATATAGAAAAAAACCTCATTTTTTTTTGCTTCTATTTTAGTAATCGATAGCGAACACAAAAAACAAGACCCATTGATAAATACGAAAGAAATTGATATGTCTGATGAAGTGGAGAAAAATATACCTGTTTACAATGAAGAACAATTAACAAAAGCACTTGCTGATATTTCACCACACAAACCAATAACATTAGCTGAAGCAATAGCTTATCAATATATCGATCTCGAAAATCCAAAATTAGGTTTGTCTAATGATACAATTGAACGTATTAAACATCTGTTTCGTCCATTATCAAAAGATGATGAATCAACATTAAATTTAATACGTATTAATCGTGCAGGTCAATATTTAGCTGATTTTAATCTTGCTGAAACAAATACATTTGAAAAGTTTCATCTATCAGAACCATTCATATATCAATTACAACAATCCTTTGAACCAACATTGGATTTTAATGAAAAACAATTTCGTTCTTTAACTGATGCTATTTTAAAAAATAAAGATGAATATTCAAGTTTACAATTTGATATTGGAAGAACATTAATACCGGCTGATGATATGAAAGAATCATCAACAAATGATTTTAGTCAATCAGATTCGGGATATTCAATGACAACAGCAACATACGAAAGTTTAGCTAGTAAAGTTAAAAATGAATTTGAAACTATCAATGAACCATTATCTGATCAATTCAATGAATCTGATAAGGTTAGTTCAATTTCTTTTTTTTGCTCTCTCTCTCTCTCTCTTCATTTCTTTCGATATAAGATCAATATAAGATAAATACATATAATAAAAAAAAATGCTTTTTCCAGACCGTAGATCAAACGAACCTAACGCATAATATACATCTGGATAGTACATTTCCAACTAATGAAAAAGTACTAGCAGTTCAACAAGAAACGACAGATAATCTTCTTAATAAAGAAAAAGATTCAATACATATTTCATCCGAACCAATTCTAACGAAAGAGGAACAACCACCGACACCAGTTTATTTAAAAAAACGTAAATCAACTGGTTTATTTTCGTGTTTTGGAAATAAAAAAGCGAAAGCTTCGACAGAGCAACGTGGCCGAAAAACAATAGCAGCACCAGCTGCTATCGTTATTACTGATGCACATGTTTTACAGACATCAAATTCTATTCAAGAAAAACCAGTGATTGACTTTGCTCGTGCACCAGATGGTAAACGTATTTATATTGATGTCTTTCAAAATCGGCCTGGTCTTGATATGTCATATACACCAGATAATTTTGATACTCAATTCTCTTTACCTATTGTAAGAATTCATTAAAAATCTATTTGCATCTGTTGACCTTTTCTGCATGGTTATTTCCTTTTGATTTATATTGCTTATTTATCCTTCAAGCTAGTTTATATATACATATGTGTTCGTCTTGAATAGTTCGTAATCGTCTGCATTCTCTTTTATTGCCTTGGGTATTCATAAATTAGTTTAGATTGATCTGTCAATGAAAGTGATTATTATGCATGCTTGTTCTATGGAATGTTAATTCTAATAATTATATTGAGTAATTTTATTTATTTTATTTAGACAAAACCAGCAAGCGAATATGAAAGACCTCTGACACCAGATCTTAATGAATTGCGAACAACTACAACAATTGAAGAAAAGCCAATTGTTCATTTAGAACCACGATCAGCAACAATTGAGCCTGTTGATGTTCAAGAAGAGGTCACCGAAAAGAAACCTATTGTTCATTTAGAACCACGTGCAGCAACAATTGAACCTGTAGATGTTCAATATGAATCATCGGAAGAAAAATCAATTGTACATCTTGAAGAACATGTACTAAAACTTTCACCAGTTGATGTTCATGCTGAAGGTATTGAAGAAAAACCAATTACCCATTTAGAACCACGATCACCTACAATTGAACCCGTTGATGTCCAATCTGAAACTGTCGAACATAAATCACTAAAACATTTGGAACCACGTGCACCAACAATTGAACCAGTTGATATTCAATCGGGACAATTACCTACGGTTATTCCTTTAACTAAAACTGAAGAATCAACTGTTTCAAAAACAGCAATACATTTACATGGTGCAGCAGTTGATCTACCAGAAGTTAAATTAGTTGAACCAACACCATTACCAAAATTAACACTTACAAAAGAAAGTCATAAAAAACCCAAAGAATTAATTTCTTCTGCTGCTGCTACTACTACTAGTGAAAAAGTTTCTAAACCTAAAAAAGCTAGTGGTGGTTTATGTGCATCATGTTTTGGCGCAAAAGCTGCTGAAAAGAAGAAAAAAGAAGCCAAATCCGAAACTGCTCAAGCACCTATTGAACAAAAGAAAATTGTTGAAGAAGTAAAGAAAGATACTATCCTACCCGAAACGATTTTACCAACAACAACAACAACAACGGCAGTAATCGAACCATTACCATTATCTATTGATCTTACTACTACAGTACCAACTATTAATGTTGATTCGTATGAAGAACGAACTGTGCACAAGGGTGTTGAAGTAAGATTACAAAAATAGAAATCATATTGATTGAAATTAATCTATTTTCTTTTTTTTTCTTTAATAGGATATTTCTAAACCAGATGATCGTTTAGATGCTACTATTGAAGCACTAGTATCAACTGAAGAACCCCATTATCAATTACCATCAAGCGAGCCGGTGCCGCTACCACCCGTAGAAAATGAATACTCAATACCTGCACATGATACATACGATATTCCTCGTTCATTTGAAACACCAAGTGTTGAAAATATACAAATAAATACCGAAGAAAAAGTATGAATATTCTAGATTAATCTTTATTAATAATTTTATTTAATTTTATTTAGCTTCTTCATAACGAACAAATAACTGATATAAAAACAACAACTGATGATATAGTTTTATCAAAACCAAAACTTGATTCATCTCTAATAACAACAATTGAAACAATGCCAAATGTTGACCTCAAAGAATCAGGTACAAAAGGTTCATATACATTACCAACAAAGAAATCTAAAACAAAAAAAGTTAAAGAAGTAAAAGTTAAAGAAGAAAAAGTCAAAGACGAAAAAGTGAAGAATGAAAAGAAATCTGGTTTATTTTCAAATATCTTTCGTCATAGTGATCGTAAATCAAAAGTACCAGCACTTGATTTACCATCAGTAGAACGTGATTTATCACCAAATAATGAATTACGTCAAGCACATCGTTTAGAGAGTGATCCATTACGTATACCAAATACTAATTTACCTAAACCTGATGTTTCATTACCAACATATAATGAACCCGAAGTTAAAATGACAACTGGACAAACAAAATCACCATCTTCCGAATTTTCAATTCCTGCCGTTGCTTTACCACCTATACCTAATTTACAATTACCCGAAAATGATAAACAAACCATTGATTCAAATATTGATTTAATGAAAATACCTGCAGTACAATTGCCTGAACTTGAATTTACTTCAAATGAACAAAACCATGAAATAACATTAAACAATGATGAAAAATTACCTGAACTTCCATTATTAACGCATATTAAACAAGAAAAAGAAATTGAACATTTACCAACTGTTGAAGCTGGTTTAGTATTAGCATCACCAGTTCAAGATATGTTAGATATTCAAACTGATCATAAACAATTCCCAATTGAAACTGATTATGCTATTAACACAGATTCAGTAAGATAAACAATAAATTTTTTTCTATAAGAAAAATTAATTAATTCTATTCTTTATAGATAATTCCAGATTTACCAAAATTATCTTCTGATGAAACAGATTTAATAGTTAAACCAGAATTATTATCTACTGAACAAAAATATACAATTACTGATACACAATTTATACCACCACCCGAATTACCAATAACAATTGAACATCATCAATCTCCACCTAAACTTCCTGATTTTACATTTCAATTACCTTCAACAGAACCAGTTGAAATTTTATCCAAAGATATCAACACATCTCCTCCATCGTTTGATGATGATGTTCCAACAGTTACATCAAAAATAGTTCCAGCTATTGAAATTTCAACACCACCACCAATAAAAACTGTTGAAAAAGAAATGATTGAACCAAAATCTCCAATCAAAAAGAAATCATCAACACTTGCACTTTGCTCATGCTTTGGTAGTAAATCAAATGCCGAAAAAACTAAAACTCTTCCAGCACCTAAAGAAAAATCCAAACCAATAACAGTACCAAAAGCTGATCTACCTCCAGTAGATATACCTGTTCCATCATCAAATATATCTTCAACATTAAAAACAAAAGGTACATTACGTGCACCAAGTAATGATTTACCACCAGTTGATTTAACTTTACCTTCAGCTGATCCAGTTCGTATACCAACAATTCATACTCATGACAAAAAACGACAAGCACCAAAAAAACCAACAGTGAATGACGAAAAAGTTCTATCTCAAGCAACAACAACAACAACAAGTCCCGAAGCCGTTGTACCAACAGTAAATGTCGTTGATACACAGCAAACAAATATTGTTCCAACAATTGAAACAAAAGTTGAAGATGAACTTTTAGTTCAATCACCTGTCTTAGAAAAACAAATTGAAGATGAAATTCCTATTCGACCACCTACTCCAACTCCACCAGAAATTATAGAAAAACAATTAGATGAACCAATTCTTGTTCGACCACCATCACCAATAGCTCTTAATGGAGCACAACCAATCGAAGAAATCTTAATGCCAATTTCTACTATTGAACAAAAACCAGTAGAAGAAATTAAAACAGAATCAACTAATTTGACATCAACTATCGACAAAAAACCAATAGAAGATATTAAAGTATGTTTAGTTTTAATTATAATACAATTTCAGTTAGAAGTTTTCAAAATCTGTTTTTATTGAAGGATTTTTTTCTGTTTATTAAAAGTATATATATTAAAAGGAAGACATACAATTTTAATAGCTTTAAAAATACAATGATCTAACATGAATCGAAATTTCATTATTTTTCTTTTTTTTTTAGGAATCTCATGTTGAATCGAAACCACATTCATCATCCGAAATTAGAGCACCAGCTTTTAATATTCCTGAACTTGACTTATCAGGTCCACCTAGAAGTGATTCATACATATCCTCACTAAAACATGAAGAATCTACAACAACTCAATCTCGTTCAGATAGTGGTCTTGAGGCAATAATCTCATCTCATCTTCAACCATCATCAACATTCGGAACAAATCATACAGTTGAAGATGTTAAACAACATCCGTCCATTAGTTCAGGTTTAGGTAGTGCTAGTATAACAACATCGAGTTCTACAAAACCTGAAATTCGATTAGAAAAATTACCACCAACAACGACAACATCAGGACTTAAACGTGAAAGTAGTATATTAAAACATGATTTTACACGTAAAATAAGTATGAATGATGATTTACGTGCCAAATTAATTTTTCGACAAAATGATTTAAAGAAATGCTTGGAAGGTGAAATATCGAAATCAATTGATGATTATGATGGTAAAAAAGATCATAAATCATTAAATAAAATTCTTACACATGGAATTGATCTTATAAAAGATAAAAAAGTAACAACATATCCTGAATTAAAACAAAAATTAATAATTGAACATAAAAATGATGCTTTTATTGTCGATCCTGTTGTACGTTCACTTTATTGTACAATTGAAAAGCAAGGTTTGGATAATCTCGATAAACCAGAATTTCCATTAGCTATTCGTGATGTAAGTTATGATTAATGATTTCTTCTAATGATTTTCTAATATTTCTATTTTGATAGATGGTACGTCTTCCGGCTAAACAACAATTTGACACCGTTACACATTTAAACAAAGAAATAACAGAGTATGTTATTAATAAATCACTACTTCCTCATTATATTCTATTCATATTTATAATAGAGAACCATCTCGAATACCTCAAGAACAATCATCAACTAAACATTCATGTTTAACATGTGGACATAAAAAAGCTCCTAAACAAAAAGTGTCAACATCACCAACAACAGCAACAACAAATACATCTATTGGTTTACTTGATGAACGCCGTCGTTTACAATTAAATACCCATAGAAATGAATTAGGTACTATTCTTCGTGAACATATTCAATCGAGTCAACCACCCATTCGAAAATTTGCTGATCATACAAAAGAAGTTGATAAAATAACACGTAAAAGTTTAACACTTGTAACTCAACCAAAAATTTTATCTTATGAACAAATTCGTAATGATTTAAAAACGGAATATAAACAAACATTTTATCTTGTTGATCCAGTAGTTGATATCATACGTGATACATTTGATCATTGTGATATAACACAAATGAATGAAAAAACCAATTTAAATATATTAGATTCGAATATATCTCAAACAGCAAATTTATATAATCAAATAAATAATCAAACAAATTTATTAACAACAGAAGAAATGAATTTATTAAAAACCAATCAATTAACATGGGTAAATCAATATTTAATTGATAATGAATTAAAAGAAAAGAAAATAACGAAAAAACAAAATAAAGAATTAAATAAAATTTTACATCGTGCATTAGATATTCTCTCATTAAATCTTATTCATACATGGGATGAATTAAATTCTCAATTAAGACGAGAATTTTCTAAAGCACATAATTTATGTGATCGTGCTATTGAATTAATAAAACAAGCACAAAAAGATGGTTTATTAGTATTAAATCAATCACCAAATGCAATTCAACAAGATGTTACATCAATAAATATTATAAATGCAAATGGTAAACGACGTGTATCATCATTAATAACTGATCGTGCAAGACAAAATTTAAAAATGAATAGAAAAAAAATAGTCGTATCAATTTCAAGTTTATTATTAGAATATAATAAACCATTATATAATGAAAATCAAATTGAAAATTATGTTAATAAAACATTTCATTATTTAGAAGGACAAAAAGTTGGACAATTTAAAGATTATAATGATGTTAAAGATAAATTAAAAAAAGATTTTAAACATAATCATGAAAAATTAATTGAACAAATTGTTGATGTTATTGAACAAGCACATGCATCAAATCAATTTGATGATATTGATAAATCGGAAGTACAAACATTAATGAGAGATAGACTTGATGGAAAACGTAAGAATTATTTAAAGAATTTTAAATTTTTTTTAAATCTTTTCTTTCTAATTTTTGTAGCATTAGTTATTAAAGAAATGTATGTTTCATTACCACCACGTGCAGGTGCATTTGCATCATCGAAACATACCAATGATGAATCATCACATTATTTATCAACATCTATTAATGGTGATCGAACATTGAATAGTAGTGCATCATCACATCGTGTTGGTCGTGGTCTTAGTTGGCGTGAAGCAAATGAACGTGCTAGAATTTTATTTTATCGTGGAAAACATCCAGCTATACATTATGATGAACAAGCCGATGGATTTGATGTACGAATGTTACTTGAAACAACAACAGGTGGAACACAAGAAATACCTGTTACAGACAGTGATGTAAGATATTTACATGAATTCTATTAAGAAATGCCAGAATCACATATTTATTTTCTTTCTAGGTTCATGAATTACTTAATTCATGTGGTGTTCAATGGGATGGTGTTAATATAATATCATTAGTTGATCATAGTGAAGATGTTGTACGTGCTGCTGAACAGGCTGCCTTAAAAGTAATACGTGAAAAAGGTCTTGTTGATCTTCGAACACCCCCATCAGCAAGAAATAAAGATGATAATGATGAACCTATATCATCATGAACACATTCATTTATTTGTTTTGTTTTTTCTTTACTTTCTTTTTCTTTCTTTCTTGTTTGTTTGATGTTTTAAGCATCATTTCTCTTGCGCGCGCTGACTAATTCCGCACGATTACATATCTCTCTCTCTCTCTTTCTCTTTACTACACACATACGCATATATTGACATATTTAAAAAAGAAAAAAAGAAGCAAAATTATTCTAGACAACTTTGTTTGTTTTGTTTTTGTTGTTGTTATTATGATTTCAGTAATTCTTTGATGAAAAGAAAACAAAACATTGTCCTCTTATTTCTCTTCGTTTTTTTTTCTCTCTCTTTCTCTCTCTTGTCCTTTTGTCGCACTATACATAATATGTATTTAGTCATTTGCGTTTGTGTGTTTTTTCATAAAAAAAAAGATGTATCGTCATTGTCATTTGTCTCTATGTGAAAATAAAAAAAAACGTTCATTTATGGAGAATGATGCAGTTAGAAATATTAGATCATCATTGTTTTGTGTATATAAAAAAGAAACGAAGAGAAAAAAAAAATAAGGAAGAAAATAAACACAAAAACAACAGGAGAATAAAATACACACAAACATCTCATTTTTGAAAAAAAAAATATTTCATTTCTTTTGTAGCAAAAAGAAAAAACTGATTGAGAAAAAAAAATAAGAAGAGCATATCACGATGATGCTGGCTGACGAGTATTGTTAGCTGGAGGAGTAAGAGAAGAATTGGACATAACATCCGTTGATGTATTAGCAGTTACATTTGTATGAGTTAATTGAAGTTGTTCATCCGCTAATTGTTGCCATCGATGAAGATTACTTCTATAGAAAATAATGAAAAAAAAGTAAAAATAATGAAATTATTTGTTTTATATAAGATAATACTTGGCTCCATTGAGCATTGGCAGTGTTTCAGGTAATATACGTGCGATTAATGAATAACATGGTATACAAATACTTTTTATGAAAGTCACCTAGAAATAAATTTATGAGATATTAACGAGAAAAGAAGAAGAAGAAATACTTCAACTGAATAGCAATATCAAATTCTTTAACCGGATTATTAAAAGTCTGCAATATTCTATTATCCCCCTTGGCATTTGCCTCGAGAAAATCAAATTATTATATCAAAGTTATTCTCAAGATGAAAACAGTGTATTATGACTTTTTTTACTTAAGTAACTACAACATACCCATACTTTAGATAAGAACCTAGAAAAATTTATAATATAAAAAACTATTTATATATTTTGTCCTTATTTTCCTATAGAAAATGAATATCTTCTTAGAATAAGATGCGCGCTCTGTCTCTCTCTCTCTCTCTCTTGTTACAATAAAAGAATATATTACCTGGTTTTTTGGTAATTCATGAGCAAGTGATCGATCCATTAATGATTGTGGTTGAATACCTTGACGTTTTTCTTCATCACCCTGTATATAATTAATTAAATTTGATTTTAAAAAAAATAGCAATTAGAATAAGCAAGCATTTTTCTCTCTCTCTTTCTTTCATTGTTATGAATTAGAAGAAAGCAGCAATTACATATATATACATATATAGAAAAAAAAGCACACCTCTTCCCAAAACTCTTCCATAATTGTGCTGACAACATCTTGTTGTACATCCCAAGGTTTATACATGGCACATAAGTCAGCAGATGTCATTGATATTGATTGAAAGCGTCGACTGGAAAGCATAAAACACACAAAATACAGACAATCGAGCGTTAAAGCACGATAAATTTTTTTCTTTGAGTATTAGAAAAAAAAATCAAAACAATTTGAAAATGAAAAAAAATTAAAAATTTTAATCAGCCGCTCTTCTCCTGAAAATTTCCTAAAAAACTGTATTAGTGGTGATGATAGTGCCTGTGTTAATAAAGATATATTCCGTTAGTAAGTGCTGCTTTCTTGTGAAAATATGAATTAATAAATAGAAAGAGAGACAGTAAAAGCATTGAGAAAAAGTATCAAACAAATGAATCACCTGTTGGAAGAATTCTTCCATGATGATGCTCACATTCGACCGCTGCACCTCCCATTGTTTAAATGAAGAACATAAATCCGCAGCGGTCATACTGAGCCCCATCACGTGTAGCCTATAGATAAAAGCACAGCAATCAGAAGTATAATGAGTGAAGTTAAATTCAAAAAATAACATATGTGTGTGCGCTAGCATCAAAAGAATAGATTTTTTTGTTGTCTACGTAGTTATTATCATTCCAAAATGTCAACCGAGAAGGATAAGTGTAAAGTATGCATTAATTCTACATAGACTAGAGAGGCTAAGGATAAAAGAAACAGGCACTATCACCACACAAAAATACATATAGCAACAAAAGGATCAAAGAGAAGATAAAATAAATAAATGAGGATAGTAGCGGCGGATTTGGAAAATTTGAATAATAAATAATAATGGTTTGGTTTGGTTTTTTTTTGGTTTAAAAATAGTGATATATATAAAAATCAATTCATTCAATAACTCACAAATGTTCCTTGTTTTGCCAACTAAATTCATTATTATCAACAATACGTTCAAGTTTAGGACGATTTTCGAAAAATAGTGCTAAATCAGTAGCTAATATACAATGACGAATTTCATCTAACATTTGTCGATATTCTTTCGATGAGAAATGTTTAAATATATTAAGATTTTCAGACTAAAATAGTAACAAAGAAAAAAATGAATAGAATTTTTTTCGAAAATTTCATTTATCTTTTACTTGAAGTATGGTTACTGTTTGATTAAAATGATGTCGTTCCATTGTAGAAGTTGAATAAATAGAAGCAAGAGTTGAAGCACTTTTAACCATAAACGCATTTGTTTTACCACGATGATCAAGATCATGACAAAGACAAGCAACAAATAAGGCAATACACTAAATAAATTCTTCTTCTTATAATTTAAAAAATATTTTTCAATTATTCAACATACATCATTCGGTGTAAAGTGATGTTTAGTTTGTTTTATCACAGTATAAATTGCATGTGCCACACTGAATGCATGTGACCAATTATGATATGGCACATTTCGATAATTTTTTCGTACAGTTAATATAAATCTCATTAAACATTCCATATCGAATCTAAAGAAAATATACAGAAAAAAAACTTAGAAAAGATTTTTCTATTATTATCTTACTGATTTGCATATATAGGATCAACATTGGCAAGATCAAGAAACATATATAGAACATAAACTGGTTTTTGATCATTATTAACCTCCCAAGGAGAATATTCGAATCGTTCTATATTTGGAATGTTATCTGGAACTTTACAATTTTTCATACGTTCATATTCTTCATCGGTACATGATGCATGATATGATAAAACTTCAAGAGCTACTTTACATTTTTGTTCTGAATGACGAATACGATCATAAAGTGATGCATGATGTAAAGCTAAAGAAAAATATTTTTAATTAAATATGTTAATATGTTTAGAAATAATTTCATTTACCAAGACCACAATAAACAGAAAATGTTTCAAAAGATTCTTCATCACTTTTTGTAAAATGTCCATTTTTTTTATTCACCATTTGAACAACACCAATTACACTTCCTTGAATCATAATTGGCATACATAAAAGTGATTTCGTTTTATAACCTGTTTTTTGATCAATATCTCTAGAAGAAGAAGAAAAAAAAAGTATATATAAATCAATTTATTTTGTTTTTTACCGATTAAATCGATTATCACTATAAGCATCAGCAATATTCAATGTCTTTCCAGTTGTTGCAACATAACCAGCAATACCTTTATCCATTGGAAAACGTATACACGGACGTTCATCAGCTGGTGGACCTTTTTCTCTATCATTATCATTAATAGCTGATGAATGTAACATATCATGATCTTCACGTCCAATATCAAATATTCGTGCATAAAGTTCTTTTGTACGTGTATCAAGCATGAATAATGAAGCACGATCAGCATTAACTAGTTTCTTCGCATAACTCTAGAAGAATAGAAGAAAAAAAATTCAAATTGAATAAAAATCAAATAGATTCTTTTATTACCATAATTTTCAACATAACAACGTCCATACTGACAAGTTCTTGAAAAATTGATTTAGTTACAGTCAAAAGAAAATCATTTAACCGTCGTTCTCGTGTCATTGTATGATAAAGCTATAAGAAAAAAAGAATAATAACACAATGAAATAAATAAAAAAAAAGAAAACAATATTTTGTTTTTAAATCGTTTTTTTTTCAAAACGAAAGTATATGAAATTAACATAGAGATATATTAAGCGAATTCGGTGGTGGTTATTCTTCTTTTCAACATGCGTTTTTTGTCAAATACATGTGTATTGATGATTTTATACGTATTTAAGCCGTATTAGAAAGAAGATTGCGAAGGATAATTGAGCAAGCAATAAAAATTAAGAGTGAGAACAGATTTAAACACACACACACAGGTATAAAAGTAATTTCAAATAGTGTAGAAACAAAAGGATAGTGTATATATATAATAATCAAGGAATGTAATACCTCGTAGTACGTTTGGGTGGAAAGCTCATTCACACATTTTACAATTTCCTGAAGCAAAATAGAATGATATTATTGACTACATTGAATAAAAGAATAAGTATAGTTCTATATATATATATTGAAAGCTACTATGTTGATTTGAAGAACTAATTATAAATAAAGCATAAAGATTCTTTAAAAGATAAGATTACATTGCTAATCTTTTTTGTTTTCAACAATATACATATGATCTTTTATTTACAATAATGAAAAGCTAGGTGTATTTTAGTGTGAATAATAATAGGTTAGCAAGTAGACAAAGACAATGAACTTACTTCTTCATCTTCATCAGAAAATGGAATTGCTGATTGATTTCGATAAAATTCAACTACACCTATTTCAGTATAAAAATTAATAATTATATTATAGGATCAGATTTTTCATACTAAGAAGTGTTCCATTCGCATTAATAATTGGATGAGCCATAACACTAGTTACTTTATCATCTTTAATAAAAAGACCATCAGGATATTTTTCTATTTTGAGCTGAAACAAAAAAAAGAAATAATCAATGAAAGTTTTCGAATAATTCAATTATTACCATAGCTTTATCATTGATACGAATAGTTTCTTTTGTAGCTGCAACATATCCAGCAAGACAACGACCGATTTCAATTGGAATTGGAACAATAGAAATTGTTTGTTCACTAGAAAACAGATATTCTTAACTCAATAATTGATTCTAAGAAGAAAAAAAACCAGTATTTATAGACATGAGATTTTTAGATAATAAAAGATCCGTAATAATTTTCTTTTTTCAAACTTATCTTTCTATGAACCTACTCGTCATTTTCTGAAGTAAATAATCGTAAATTATTTCCATTTTCATCAACCAAATACAAATTAAAACCATCAGCCGATATTGCTAAATAAACAACAATAAATTTATACTTAAAAAGAAATCAATATCTAAATATACTTGATGCTATTGATTTGCATAATTCATATAAAACTTGAGCTTTAGTTACATTTTGATTAACTTCATCAGTTAATTCATGTAATAAACGACGTTGATTACTTAATTCGACTATCTAGAATGACAATCGATTATGATTTATAATAATAACAAAAAGTTTTTTTTATTTACTTTCGTCATTGATTTTGCTGTTGTTGATGATATTTGTTGAGTTGATGATTTTAATGATGATGATGATGGTTCTGTTGTAACAACTAAACGAAAAAGAGAATATAGCTAATCATAAAAAACTAACAGATGCTATCATAAATCATAAAATGACTAAATATGACCAATAGATGATGATAAATTTTGTTATTTTTTTACCAGTATTTGTTGCTAATGACAATTCTGCTTCTGATGATGATGAGAGATGGTTTTTTTGTGGTGAAATCGATGGCATTGTTGGTTGTGATGGACGTGATCGTTGAACTTTATATACTAGATCTCCTTCACTTATATTTCTCGACCATGGAGTTTTAACTAGTGCTGATGTCTGAGGTATTTTCGACATCCAATGCTCGATTGTATTCGAATTGACATTTTGTTGAATATATGTATCAAGAAATTCTGGATGTTCGGCAAGATAACTTTGTACTGCATCGGCTGTGACCGACGATGGTAACGGATCGGAATTGGCTATTAAAAACAGAAAAATATCTTTTAGTCTATTAAATTATATGAATAATATTATACATATGATTAAAAATTAATTTCTATTTAAAGATTATATATATATATATTTTTTTAGTTTTTAGTTTTTCAATGCTACATTTTATTTCTTTGTTCATTTTTTGACATTATTCTCGTCCTTTTCTTTTTACTTCTTTTATATCGTATCATATTACAAAAAGCTTTTTCTTTTTTTTTCCTCTCGATTTTTCCATTTCCCTTTTTTCTTTTTCGGTCCATGTTCAGCAATACAACAAGCATTCCTCATCACTTCCTGTATGACTCTGAATAGTTAACTATCATAGTATATATGAGGTAGTAATAACGATGACTTTATTCTATCTTATTCTATGTGTCACTATGCTTGAAAAAAAAAAAGAAAGAAAGCAATGAAATATAAACACGCACATATATATGCGTGCGCATCAATTAAAAGCATGCATATAGATACACGCAATACCTTCTCACTATTCTAAATTTTGATTGTGAGAGACATGCATACATACAGATTTTTATTTTCTCAGATATATATATCTATATATTCATATGCGTGTTTATGTGTGCACTTAGTCACACATACCTCTAGCGACGCCAAAGAATACTAATATGTAATTGTCAATTTAAACACGCGCTTAACTATTAAGGATTACCTTAAAGCTAGAAGATGAAAAAAAGAAGCAATAGGTAGTCACAGAAGATGACAGAATGAACATGAAAAAAAAAGCGTAGAACGTACCGCCATATTTGGCAGAAGAAGAATGACGAGTTTTCTTTTTTAATGAACTTTTGTTGTTGTTGTTGTTGTTTGTTAGATTTTGTTGATCGGATGAGGAACGAGCTGAAGTACAACATTTGATAAAATTCATAATGATAATTGTTGTGAACGTCGTCGTTGACGAATATCACAATAAACAGATGTTGATACTGATGATAAAGATGGAAGCGATGATTTAATGGCGTCGCAATAGTGAGTTGCGACATATGTCATGATCGACACACTTTTTCGTCGTGCAACAACAACAACAATAACAACAACAAAAGCATGCGACCACCACCGACGACAATAACGACCAAAATAAATATGTGTAACGATGGCGTACGAGCGGTTGAAACAGCAATGAGGTTGATGAGAGGAAAAGAAATAGAAGAACGAGCGTCTTTATTAGAAGGCGCAAGCAACTAGTAAAGAATTGTATGTAGGCAATCGATAGCGCGGGCGAGGCGCATGGACGTTTTGTTGCGTCTATAAACCAACACCACTATCAGGAGTTGAAGCACTAGTCGCCGACGTACTCTCTGGGTAGCTAGCCCGGAGACGAATAACCAAAGCGAAGAAAGAAGGAAGAAGAGAAGAAGTAACACTACTAGCACAACAACCCTCTTGTTTCCGTCATTTTCTTTCTCCTCTCGTTGACTCGGCCCGCTAGTAGAAGGGAAGAAGACAAAGAATTCGCGTCATGCTGTTACTACATACTATTGCTCGATGCGACGAAGCAGAAGCTTTACAAATTATGATTGAGGATGAACGCAATAATACTGCAACGATAACGCGGCAACAAAGCTTTTTATGAAAGAAAATGTCGATTACCGACATTGAGTAATGAGTAAAAACTTTTCCTATTCTCTTATCTCTTATTATTATCTTCTATATATTTCATATTGAATCGAATACAAAAAAAAAAGGAACCTTTGATAATAACAAGGTGTTGTTAGTCAGATTAAAATGAATATATATTCCCCATTGTGACATATATATTCAAATCGACATCTATAATCAAGGTCACAAAGATGTACTTAAAAGACAATGTCAACAATCTTAACAGTAATGTTGACAACGAAAACATATTTGTACTTGTTTAATAATATACAACGGAATAAGATAAATCCGAAAAGGAAAAATCATGATTGATCTATAATAACTAATTTAAGGACTATAAAAGAAAATAAATTGATCTAATCGTTACTCTCAGGCATTTTTCTTCCTTTTTTAATAGTCATATTACATATATCAAAAGAAAAAAAAAATATATCTAAGACATGCAAAAGTAATTTGTTACTAGACAAAAGATGAAGTATGCCAGAATAATGTAAATGGAAAGCATGAGATCCGAAATGATGAGAAAAATAAGATAATTGCTCTATTAACTTTATCTGTCACGAAATAATATCTGGTGCTCTTTGCTTTATTTTCTCTTAATCTAGTCTGTTCATCATTTTTCATGTCTATGGGTTATGTCAACCTTTCGACAATGAGAACTTCTTTAAATAATCAAATTACATGAAGGATGAAAAACAAAAATCTATTCTCTAACAATGACAATTGTTGAATGATATCTCTCGTACGAAACAAATCTAAAATCATTTGGAATCTACTCCTATCGAATAGACGTCACTGATTATTTAAACAATAACGAACGACTAGAATTCTTTTTATTCATAATTGAATTAAGTATTGAGTTTCATATGACAACAATAATAATATTTAATAATCAATTTCTCTTTCAATTCTAATTCCATTTAAAACAATATTGTATGGATTAATAAAAAAAAAATTTTTTTTTTACTATCGAAAAATAAATCATTCGTTTTTATTTTGATAAAATATATTATTTCAAGAATACGATAGAATCATAAATTTTCTTTCGACATATATATATATATATATGTCAAGTGATGAAACGAAGAATTGTTTATCTCGAGAAAATAAATCTTATAAGAAAAGAAAAAAAAACGAAATGATTTTAGAGATATAATACTCAAGATGAATTAGTTTAAATCTCTCGATCAAACATCGTTACTTCTTCTATCATAAATAAATCTTTCGATAAATAATAAAATACTTCTATCTTAATTTTTTCTTAGCCTGACCGAATACATTAACAATACTGGCATGTAATCGTTCGGTTAACTGTCAAAAATTCAATGAGTACTAAGATGATGAATGATTCAACATATAATCGTAAAAAAAAAGAAACTAAATAAGTTACTACTATTCATGATAGGTGGTGTATGTAATAAATTATATTTATTGAACGACTCAAGAGATTTCTAAATCATATTATACTATTTCGAAATATTAAATAAGTTATTTTAGATGATTGAAATGAAATTATATATAATTTAAAGATAAAAACTTAGATATCTAATGAAGCATTAGAAGTTCAATAAAGAATATATATATATAAGAATAATATTTTGTTTTTATTGAATGATTGAATCTTTTATAAAAGTTTCACATTTATTTAATACTAATTGCATGAATAATCATTATGGTTGAAAAACTACAAATGTCTTTTCAGGGTCTAGTTCAAAGTCTTCTTTGAGGCGAGAAAATTTATAAGTAGAAATATATTTATAAGAAAAAAGAAATGACGAAGAAGAAGAAGAAGAAGTTAAAGGAAGAAAACACATCATGAGAAGAAAAAAAAACCATTCATCCATGAGTATACATGCACGCCATATTTAAATCCGGATATAAGAACGTCAGCGGCGACATGGTCGCTAAGAAACGCACGCATATCCGTCTCCTTTAGTTAGACAGATTAAGTGACTGTCATGAAAATGAACTTAGTAGATGGAGCCACATCTCTGTAAACCTCTTTTTTCTATTTCAAAAGATTGTCATGTAATAGATCTTTTTAAGTATATACTAAATAATAGATTTGTACGATGATAAGATCAATCATTTATCTCTTTATTAATATTAAAGTAACTTACCTAATTTGATACGCTTGGGTGGTGGTGAAAAGCAACGATTGACATTATCGTTCTTTTCTACCATGTAATCCGAGTCGGGATTCTTATTATCATCATCACCATCATCATCTCTGTCGGCCAACAGCCACCAACTCGTTCCAAATCGATAGGGTAACGTTTTTCGAGCTATCTAAGTATACTTTACTTAGTATTATTATTGTTACTTCTGCTTTCTCTTTAATTAATTTGTTAAAATTAGGTAAATAATAATGTTGATCAGATTTAGTATATATGATGGTCGCCACGTCGATGCCGACGAAGAGAGCGCTCTTTCTACATAGAATGTATATAGTAGAGTGTGTGCGTTCTATCGCTCGTTACTCTCCTCTTCGTCATCGACGTCGTCATTCTCTTGTTTTTGTTGTAGTCATTGAAGATGAATACAGAAAAAGAAAGGAGAGTCGAGCAAGTCAATGCAAAAGATAGAAAGAGAAAACAAACTAAATGACTATAAGGAACACATACACCACCATTTATACGTCAAGATCCGAATCAACGATTATTACTCTATCTCGACAACGAGTTATTGTACGAGAAAATAAGAAACAATGAACGTAATAATATAACGAATAAGAAATAAGAATAAAAGCCGTCATGAGTAGATACTGGAAAGCGAGCGATGAAGAAAAAAAAGAGAAAGAGTGTATGTAAAAAAGAAAAAAACTCTCGTTTACCATATGCTAAGCGAGGCTTATACTTCTCATTAAAATGGCATCATACTCATAGTAATTGTCACAGTGACATTTTTGCGCATAGATAATAGCTATGGTAGGAATACCATTTCATATGCTACCGACCTTTATATCGTTATGTAAAGTCAGTTTTATTTCATTTATCTATTAATCTAACTAACATTCATTGAAAAGTTTCTTTATAAAAAAAATAAACAGGAGCATTTCATATATGTTAATGTTTAGGTCAAAATGAGAACATTTTATCAAGTGAAAAATCGTCTCAATTTGATAGCTTTTTATAAATTGAAACGACATGAGCAAATAGATTATTTCATTCACACTCTATCGATTTTAAAACGAAATGAAGCGTAATAATCTAGAAGATTACAGAACACGTTACTATCGATGACATAAAATATTTTTTATGTCTTCTGTTAATGCATATTCAGAAATAAATCACTTTAAACAATTTAGAAAGAAAAAAGAAGAAAAATGCTTTACTTTTTAAAGTTTTTTTTAACAACAAACAGTTTTATAATGAAATAAAAGTGTATTTTATATGAAGGTGTCTGACCCTAGACTCATCATCATATACTTTCTGTTTACTATACTTAAACTATATAATAACAACAACATAAAACTACAAATAATCTAGACTTTATCTGTACATCATTCTATCTTATCATATATAAACAATATTATGATAAAGAAACTTTGAGTCTTTCAAATTAGTTTATCATATTCTAGATTCATATTATATACCTACCACTTTGACGTCCATTTGACCACGAGATAACTGTCTGTCGCACTTGTTTTACAGGCGGCAATGGTGTTTTTCGATGTCTCGATAGAACATTCGAAGGTTTCGACATAATGTCTCTTTTAACTTGCTATTGTATAAGAATCATCACTTTTTTTCTCTATGAGCATGGTTTCTTCCATACATACATGCACACATACTTTTTTTCTCCCTCTCTCCTCCGTTTGCTTGTCGTCAACACTCACCTAAAAACACTAAACTTTGCTTCTTTTTTTTTCGACACAATGTACATATAGATGCAATTGCTATGTCTGTTCGCCTGCCGGCTGAAATAGTTGTTGGTAAACACTACCATCAATACGAAACTCTTCACTTTACAATTTTTTTCTCCTCTTGTTCTTCTTCTTTCTGGTCCATTCATCATCATCATCAACATTAATAAACATTTCTTCTTTTTTTTTTTTTGTTTCATTTTTTTCTTCGCTTTTATGATAGTTGTACTCAATTTACACAGTTTGATGACTATATAAAATTCGAAGCAAAAGAAAAACAGCAAATAAAACTGATATATTTATTTTTATTTCTTGTTTATTTTTGTACTTCTCTTCAAGTATTTTAAAGGATATTTAGTCATTTCTTCATTCATTTCGACGATAGTTTCATGAAAGAACAACTATTTGTTTTCAATTAAATGGAATTTCATCACCATTTTCGTTTTCCCCACCTGTCCAATGATGAGTCTTAACAAAAAAAGAAAGAAAAATATTCGAGAAATCAAATAAAATATAAACTTACAAAAACACGATTGCGAATATAAGTAGGGTATGCTGACATACGATTACGACGAAAACGCCATTCAGTTACACCACGTTCATTTCGATCTTCGTTTAATGGACGATGATCAATTCTGTATGATGTCTAATAACAAAAAATAGATCTAACAATTAGTCATAGTCAATTATAGATTACTTACTATAGTAATAATGCAACAAATAAGGCATAAAAGTCGAAATGCTAACCAGAAATTTCCCATAGATGATGTACCGAAAGATGGCATATGAAGAAGAAATGATATGATAGAATAGAAATCTTTTTGATCACACCAACAAACTAGCGTGTAGATGTAAACGAAACGTCGATGATCAAAACAAAAACTGATGCATCACTCGATTGGATTTGACAAATAATAAAATATTTATTATTGAAAGAGAAAATAAATAGTTTAATTTCTCGATGGAATTATATCTTTGCCTATTTTTCATTCAATTCTTAGCAAAAAGAAGTGAAGATCTAATTCATTTTGTTTTTTGACCTCGATAAAAAAAACAAAAAGAATATTGAGCGCTATCCATAACACAAGATGAATATTCTTTTATTCCCATTGTATGTAGAGAATAAATCATACGCATTCTTATTGTTTATTTCCTCCAGGTGTCGGATATATTTTCTCATGGAAGGAAAAAGTAATCATGCATATCAAAATTATTTTATAAACAATGATACTTCCATTTCTTAAAGTTGCAATGACGATTATTTGTTGTTATTATTATTGTTTTATGAGATATTGATATAGTGAGTATTCAAGTATTATCTGATAATAAATAATTCTTGACTGTTATGTGAATATAATGTATCATGAGATACTTCACAAATGTTTTATTAACTTCGTACTCAACGATCTAATTTAGTTGAATGATTCTATTGTTATATATTTAATAAAATTGACATTAAATCATTTAATTAAAAAATAATTTTTATATACATTCTTTTAAACATATATGATATTATTAGTACGTATAACTTGCAAATTTTAGCTTCTATTATTATTATTAGTATTGATTTTTTCTTCCGATTCAAGTAGATTTATTTATTATTCCTTTTATGTTTATCATCATGATTTATTATAGAATATCTGATCTGAATGTATTAAATCATTAGTATATGTATATACTTCTATGTCATTGAAAATGCTTTTTTCTGTTATTATTATTCTTATCTTGAGCATTTATTTCCATAGAGTTAAATTCGTTATATTATCTAATATTTTGAAAAACTAAGTACAGTTTATAGATCTCCATCTTCTACGGCGATGAATACATCAAAGTAGATTAGATTACAAACAAATAAAAAGAAAAGATTTTCATCAGTTTTTTTTCACCCAAGGATCATCTATTATTATCCTATAAAAAAAAAACTTTGTGTAAAGCTTCCTGTGCACGAACATTAGTGATTTGTTGTGAGGGTTGCATGATAGTTATAGAACTACAATTATATCCAACTCTTTTTTT